GTGTGCCTAGAGCCCGTGCTCCACAACAAGAGAAGCCACCACAATAAGAAACCCATGCACTACAACGAAGAGTAGCCCCCGCTCGCCGCAAGACTCTGGCCCCATAGTTCTTTATTGTTCTCTCCTACTGAAGCCCATCAATCCAGCACGCTCTGTTTACCAGGCCTTTGACCCTTTCATGACCAGATCTACTTTAGCCCTGAAGCTTTATCCTCCAGAATCTCACTCTCTAAACCCAGCTTCTTGCCTCTGGATCTCCCTTTGCACACATATCAAATTTTCAAACTCTAGAAACTCTAGTCCTCTGAACTCATTGCTCCCTGTATATACCAGGCCTTTCTTCCTTTCCAACCCAGCCTGGATATCATGATCCAACTTCATCTGTTCTCATGGCAGCCCCTAGTCAACCCCATGTCTTTCTCTCCCACCCACTTATTAATTACCAGATTTCTCTACTCCTGTGCCCTCATCACTAAGAGCTCCCAGGAACAAACAATAGCACACAACCACTGGCACTGGGATCAACAGAACCAGGCCCTGAACACAACAAGCCTGGATTGCTCAATCCTACCATCTCTTTGACCCCTGCAAACTTTCTCCACTTTTCTTAAACTCTTTGTATCATCTTCATCTCTTAGTATAAGCACTTAGCTTCACCTCCTACTTCCCAGAAAAAAAAAAAAGGAGTCCGTAGGCATGGTCTTCTCAATTCCCTACCCTCCTGGTCTTTATCTATATCTAAGAACTAGGCAATAAGTTGAAAATCTATTCACTGAAGACAGTTCACCCAATGACCATGCTCCCAAAAGCTCAATTCATCAAAATTTCCAAAGTTATCAAGTTTAAAAATTGTTGGTTTTAGGGTTTCCCTGGTGGCTCAGTGGTTGAGAGTCCACCTGCCAATGCAGGGGACACGGGTTCGTGCCCCAGTCTGGGAAGATCCCACATGCCACGGAGCGACTAGGCCCGTGAGCCATGGCCGCTGAGCCTGCGCGTCCGGAGCCTGTGCTCCGCAACGGGAGAGGCCACAACAGTGAGAGGCCCGCGTACCAAAAAAATAAATTGTTAGTTTTGAGCACCAAAATCTATTTGGTAGAGTTATCAACTCACCAAAAATTTGTTTCTATCAATAATGTATAAAATTTATAGAAATTGTGTTGTGTGGAAAGATTTAATAACCTTATGGATTCACTCTTTTTTCTTTTGGTTGTTTTTTTTTTAGTGTTAGTTTTCAATTAATTTCAGCTTGATTTAGTTTAGTTTTAGTTTAACCAGAGTCTTCTCATTCGGTCTGTTGTATAACCAGATTTCAACCAAACTCTGCTGAATGTCACTTTTGTGTGTGATACTTATATCAGAAACTTAGGATTCAGATGCCTAAAATGAATATATAATACTCATTTGATCAAGCTGATAAAAAAAAAATCTAGGAATTAAACAAAGTTAAAAACAGCACTAACTCATTCTGTGAAGCCATTATTACCGTGATACTAAAACCAGAAAAAGACATTGCAAGAGAAGATCAATATCCCTTATGAATAATTGTTGCAAAATTTGCCAACAGAATACTAGCAAACTGTATCCAACAACATAAAAAAAGAATTATACACTAGGACCAAGTGAGCTTTACACCAGAAATACAAGGTTGGTTACCATTCTGAAATCAATCAGTATACAAAAATCAATTATATTTCTACACACTAGCAAAGAACGATCCAAAAAAGAAAACAATTCCATTTATAATAGCATCAAAAAGAATAAAATGTTTAGGAATAAATTTAACAAAAGAAGTACAAGACTCACACACTGAAAACTACAAAAGATTATTGAGAGAAAATGTAAAACGCCTAAATAATGTAAAGATAACACATGTTCATGGACTTGAAGACTTAATATTGTTAAGGTGCAGATACTCCCCAAATTGATTTAGAGATTCAACACCATCCCTATCAAAGTCATGCGGCTTTTCTTTTTTTTGCAGAAATACTAAAATTCATATGGAAGTTCAAGAGACTCAGAATAGCCACACAAAATAATCTTGAAAAAGAACAAAGTGGGAGGACTCATACTTCCTCATTTTAAAACTTCTACAAAGTAATCAAGACTGTGTGGTACTGGCATAAGGACAGACATGCAGATCAAGGAAACAGAATTGAGAGGTCAGAAATAAACCCTTAGATTTATAGTGATTTTTTTCTTAACAAGGATGACAAGAAAATCAAATAAGGAAAGACAAATCTTTTTAACATATAATGATAGAACCAGCTATCCACATGTAAAAAATTAAGGTTGGGCCGCTATCTCACACCACATACAAAACTTAATTCAAATGGATCATAGACCTAAATGTAAGAGCTAAAACTATAAAACTGTTAAAAAAATAGCAGTAAATCTTGTCCTTGGATTAGATGATGATTTCTTAGATAGAATGCCAAAAACACAAGCAACAAAAGGAAAATGAGAGGGAGAAGGGGCAACGTAGGGGTGGGGAAAAAAAGGGTTATTTAATGTGATTATATGAAATCGTGTGTGAAACTTGAAAATTTAAAGCGCTACAGAATTTAAAGAATCATTCAATTTAAAAAAGTTTTTAAAAGAAAATAAGATAATTATTTAAGGAACAGAATATCCAAGAACTGTGGGACAATAACAAGAACTGTGGAACAATGACAAAATGTATGTAATGGGAATACCAGAGGAGAAGAAAGAGAGAGAGAAACAGAAGAAACATTTGAAGTAATAATCACTGAGAATTTTCTGAAATTAATGACAGGCACCAAACCACAGATCCAGAAAGCTCAGAAGACATCAAAATAGACACTGAAAAAATCTACACCTAGGCGTACAAAACTGCAGAATATTTAAACTACAGAAAATATTCAAACCACAGAAAATAAAAGACATAGAAAATCTTGAAAGAAGCCAGAGAAGAAGTTATACAATAGCCAATAAGCATACAAAGAGAGGCTGAACATCATTAGTCATTAGAGAAATGCAAATCAAAACCACAATGAGATACCACTTCATACCCGCTAAGATGATTATAATAAAAAAGATAAACAATAACAAGTGTTGGCAAGGATGTAGAGAAATTGGAACACTCCTCATACACTCCTGGTAGAAAGGTAAAATGGTGAAGTTGCTGTCGGAAAGTTTGGCCACATTTCCTCAAATATTTCCTCAAAATGGTGAACATAGTTTATAATACATAGTTACAATGTGTATCATACCAGCAATTCCACTCCTAGGTATATACCCAAGGATATTGAAAAAGTACGTCTACACAAAAACTTGTATGCAAATCTTCACAGCAGCATTATTCATAATAGCCAAAAAGGGCAAAAAATCTAAATAAATGTCCATCAACTGAAGAATGAATAAACAGAATGTGATATATCCATAGAACGGAATATTATTCTGTCATAAAAAGAATGAAATACTGATGTATTCTACAACATAGATGAACTTCAAAAATAGGATAAGTGAAAGAAGCCAGACACAAAAGGCTACCTATTGTATGATTCCATTTATATGAAATACCCAAAATAAGCAAATCCACAGAAACAGAAAACAGATTATTAGTTGCCAGGGGCTGAAGGGAGAAGGAAATGGGGAGTAACTGTTAATGAGTATGGGGTTTCTTTTGGAACAATGAAAACATTCTGGAATTTGGTTGTGGTTGATGGATATACAACTGTGAATATACTAAAAACCACTGTGAACTATACAGTTTAAAAGGATGAACTTTATGGTATATAAATTGTATCTCAATAAAACTGTTACTTAAACAAATAAATAAAATCGAAGTAAAAACTTTATTTAGAAGTAGTAGCAACTACATAATCAAGGATAAGAATAAGCAGAGATATTCCTAAGGTACAGTCATCCTATTGTGACATCAATGAGACTGGCAGAAATTCTACAAATGTTTCTTCGATGTCACTATGGCAGGAGGCCCATTCATCAATGGTCATCATGAGATCTTAGAACAATTATTTTGAACTAATGAACTTATATAATTAATTTTATCACTTACTGTAGTAACTATTAATTCCATTTACCAACCAGTATGGAAATACAGTATGGCCATATTTCAGCCCATATCTATATACCTATTAAAATTATAAGTGCACAAAAAAGTGTTTTTAAAAAGGAAAATTATTAGATTGAAAATGTTTTGAAAGAGAGAACCCCACCCCCCGCAAGATTGTTTATATTTGACATTTGAGTCATTGCACAACACTTGTAGAACAAAATACACAAGAACTTCTCATTCTCAAAAGTTTAGATTCAAAGTAAGGAAAATTTTAGATTACACTGAACTTTGGCCAGCCATGGCAAAATGACTTCAGTGAAACAGCAAATAAATTAAAACTAAAACTGAGCTAAACTACACTTCAAATGAGTCAACTGCTAATTTGTAGAAATGTTCAAAAGTAGTTAAAATCCATACAACCATGCAATTGTTGTAAACTTTACATATAATTAAAAGAAACAAAATTTTGGTAAATTGAGAAAATTGGTGAATTTCAGCAAATTGATCATTCTGTGAACTGAAATTCAGAGAACTGGCTCTCCTTACTTCGTATCCCAGAGGATAGGAGTCCTTCCTCTTCTCCACATTTAATCCCTCCACCTGTGTTCTAGATTCCATCTGGTTCTGCCTTCTCTGGCTCCTGCCCTGTGGGAGAGAATTGAGAGTTTCCTTTTTTCTTTCCTAGAGTCTCTGCAGGGAATTGAAATCCTTCAGAGCCTGGAAAACATACTTGGTCTTGGAAGATCCCAGCTCAAACAGTGCTGGACTCCGGCCATTTTTTTTTTTTTTCGGTACGCGGGCCTCTCACTGTTGTGGCCTCTCCCGTTGCGGAGCACAGGCTCCGGACGCGCAGGCTCAGCTGCCATGGCCCACGGACCGAGCCGATCCGTGGCATGTGGGATCTTCCCGGACCGGGCACAAACCCGTGTCCCCTGCATCGGCAGGCAGACTCTCAACCACTGCGCCACCAGGGAAGCCCTCTGGCCATTTTTTTAATACTCCTTCTCACTTTCTCCAGGGCTGGGCTCTACTGAAGAGTGCTAATGACTGTGGTCTCTCATGAGCATTTGAACGGGGGCTCAGTCTCAGAGCAGCCTGCAACCAAGCAATGATGCTGCCCGGTGCCTCCTCACGCACTAAGAAGGAAGAATTGGATAACAGAGCCAGTGAGAATTGTTAGCCTCCCATCCTTGTCATTCAGGAGCATCATTTACAAGGCAGGCTTTTTGGGTCATCTTTCCTTTTCCATTTGGTCTTCCCCACATTCATCTGTCCTTCCTTGCCCCTGGTTAATTTGTCCTTCCACTGCTTCCCAGAGTTTAGCCCTTTCCATCGTGGACTCTCCTCCCAATCTTTCCTGTTCTGAAACCCCTAAATTCTCAGCCCCATTATACACCCCCGAGTCTCCACTTCCTCTAAGAGAGTTGGCTTTGTTTAAGTACATCATTTCTTCACATTCTGCCACAAGTCTAGGGAGGAGAGAGAAGTTGTCTCCACTCTTGGGGCTCCCTAGGGCCCAAACACACATAAGTACTTTTCCACACCTCCCCCCAGTCTTTGAGAATCATACCATCTTGTTATTCAAGCCTCTACCCTCCTCAGTGTTGTCATGAAATGACCTTTCTTTTTCATCAAAGACTTTAGTATAGCTGTGCCTGTACCCTTTGTTCTCTCACCAGCATCCTCAACTCCATGGTCCTTTAAGCCTGTAAGGCCACCAGCCATCATTCCTCTTAACAGTGTCTCCATTCCTTTAACACTTCCCTCAAAATCACTAACATACTGCCTCCCTCAAGCCCCATTTTTCACAAACTCCAACTCCTCTCCAGAGAGAATGGAATCACCAGGTATGATGGCCTCAAATTCCCACCCTGTCCATCCTCCTTCTGCACTGCCATCATACCCTCATGCATGCACTTATCTGCATCCTCACCCATCTTCCCTTTCAGTCTTGAAGGAGGAGGTACCTCTGTAGGTCAAAAACCAATTCCTTCCTGTAGCCATGGTTAATTCCTCAGACCCTCCTCTCTCCTCTGGGACCTTGCTCCATTAGCCATTGCTTGTCCATCAGCTCTTTACCTGCGGTGTTAAACAAGGTCCCACTGCTTACTTCTCAGCAACTGTTCCTCAATCCTTCCCTTCCCCACTCCTCCTCTCAGCCTCCTGTTACCCATCCTTTCTCTCTTTCCTTGCTGCACTCACTGAGTAGTAGTTCTTCATCCTCCTGTCTCACTAGCATCCTTTCTTTATTCTGGAAAGAATATTTATATTCTTTCTTATATTCAGCATAAATGAATATTATTTATTCATCTGTCCATCAATGGACACTTAGGTTGTTTCCATGTCTTGGCTTTTGTGAATAATGCTGCAATGGACATGAGGTGCAGATATCTCTTTGAGATAGTGATTTCATTTCCTTTGGATATACCCAGAAGCAGAATTGCTGGATCATATGGTAGTTCTTTTTTAAAATTTCTTGAGGAACCTCCATAATGTTTGCCATAGTGGCTGTACCAGTTTACATCGCCACCAGCGGTGTCCAAGGGTTCACTGTTTCTCCACATCCTTGCCAGCATTTTTTATGTCTTTTTTTTTGATAACAGCAATCCTAACAGGTATAAGGTGATATCTCATTGTGGTTTTGATTTGCATTTTCGTGATGATTAGTGATGTTGAACAACTTTTCATGTGCCTATTGGACATTTGTATATTTTCTTTGGAAAAAGATCTATTAAGATCCCTTGCCTATTTTTAAATTGGGTTATTTGGTTTTTTGCTCTTGAGTTGTATGAGTTCCTTGTATATTTTGGATATTAACCCCTTAGCTGATCGTAGTTTGCAAATATTTTCTCCCCTTCCATAGGTTGCCTTTTCATTTTGTTGACAGTCTCCTTTGATATGCAGAAGATTCTCAGTTTGATGTGGCCCCAGTTGTTAATTTTTGCTTTTGTTCCCTTTGCTTTTAGCGTCAAATCCAAAAAAGTAATTGCCAAGACCAATGTCAAGCAGCTTACCCCCTATGTTGAAGTTCTCCTAGGAGTTTTATCGTTCCAGGTCCTAATGTTCAAATCTAATCCACTTTGAGTTGATTTTTGAGTATGGTGTCAGATAAGGGTCTGGTTTCATTCTTTCGCCCATGGATATCCAGTTTTCCCAGCACCATTTATTAAAGACACTATCCTCTCCCCATTGTGTATTCTTGGCACCTTTGTTAAAAATTGATTGACCACAGGGACTTGGTGGTCCAGTGGCTAGGCTCTGCGCTCCCAATGCAGGGGGCCCGGGTTCTATCCCTGGTCAGGGAACTAGATCCCACATGCCGCAACTAAGAGTTCGCATGCCGCAACTAAAAAAAATTAAAAAAAAAAAAAAGATCCCACATGCTGCAACGAAGATCCCACAAGATCCCGCACGTGGCAACGAAGATGCCGTGTGCCACAACTAAGACCTGATGCAGCCAAATAAATAAATAAATATTTTTTTAAATATTAAAAAAACATTGACCACATATGCATGGGTTTATTTCTGGGTTCTCTATTCTGTTCCATTGATCTATGTGTCTGCTTTTATGCAGATATCATACTGTTTTGATTACTATAGCTGTGTAATACAGTTTGAAATCAGGAAGTGTGATGCCTCCAGCTTTTTTCTTCTTCCTCTCCTGTCTTTGAATCATTAAGATCATCAGCCACATCCTAATTTCAAAGTCTAATGGAGACCTATCAGACTTCATACTGCTGTGGTATTTTTACTCTGCTGACGACTCTCATTCTAGTAGCTGTTTCCTTCCTTGGCTTCTATGATAACACATTGGGCACTACTCTCTTGGTCAATTCTTACCTCATTGGCTGCTCTTCCCAATCTCCTTCATGGCTCTTCTTTTGTTATCTACCCTTAATGCTGCCCAGGCCCTCTTTTCACTACATATTCTCTGGAGGTGACAACATCCATTCTCATGGTTCCACTTAACCACTATAGACTGACAGACTGATGTTTCCAAAATATCTATCCTCAGCTCACCTGAGTTCCAAATTTTATACTCAACCACATCCTAGACATCTTCATTTGGATATCTCACATACATCTTAAAGTCATCATGTACAAAACCAAATTCATTATGGTATGTCTCTCCTCTCAAACCTGCTCATCCTTTTCTTCCCAAACATCATGAGTAACATCACTAACGTACATCCCAGGAAGATGGAAGTCATCTTGCACTACACTCCTCCTGCACCACCACTCCTCACATCTAGTCAGCCACCAAGAATTGTAGTCTCTGTAACTTCTCTCATATCTTACTCCTCTTTTCTAATCCTACGACCACTAGCTTAGTTTAGATCCTCATTACAAGCTGGGCAATTGAAACTGACTCTTGTCTATTTTCCTTTGATCCTTAGTATTGAAACCAAAATGATGCTGATGTCACACAACCTGACCATTTCCCTTATTAAATAAGCCTTACAATGGCTCCTCAGAGTCTGGACAATATGCATGATAGGTAATATCCTCCGTGATTTGGCCCCATTTACCCTTCTTGTTTTCTCCTTTCGCACCAGCCCGTATGCCTTACACTCCAGCCAAGTCAATGTACTCAGGAACCACCAACATTTACCACCTGTACACCAGCCTCCACGGCCAAAGGCTATTTTCTTTCATGCTCTTGTGGTTTTGAACATGGTGCTGTTTACTCTGTCTGAAAGTCCTTTCTCCAACTTCTCCCTCTGCTACGATTCTACTCATCTGTGAAGATCCAGTTCCAGCATCATGTTTGTGACACCATTTGCTGACATCCCATCCCTGGGCTAGATTAAGAATCCTCTCTATGCCCACAATCCCATGCTTTCCTCTATCATTGTACTACCCAGTGCCAATGTGCAGATCTGTCTTCACAGCTTACTGTGAGCTCCTTAGTCATATCCTAGCTATGTATCTTAAGTATAAAGCTGGCCACTTATATGTGTCTTCAGTAAATAGAAGGAAGTAAGAAAATTTAGGTTCTCCTATTTGAAAAACTCTCTGGCCCCCTAAAACACCTGTCCCCTCCCCCTGCTATAGATCTCTCTCCTTTCCTGTAGTCAAGCCTCTTTAAAGAACAGGCTCTACTCCATGTCTTCAGTCCCCCCCTCCACCCTACCCAACTCCTTTACTGAGTGCTGACTAGCTTCCACCCCGACCTCTCCACCCACCCCGTTGTCCCCAAGGTCACCAGTGGTCTCCCTCTGGCCAAATCCAATGGATACGTATCAGTCCTTGCCTCCCTGGCCTCCTCTGTGTCAGTCAACCCTGATGAACACTCTCTGTCCCATGGCTTCCCTTGGCTTTCCCTTGGCTTCATTGGCACTGCCTCCTCCCCTTCTTCTCCGTCTCTGGCTACTCCTTCTCACTCTCCTTTGAAGGCTGTGCCTCCTCTCCTCGACCTTTAAGTGCTGGAGCTTCTTAGCATCTGTCCTAGCCCCCTTCTCTTCCCAGTGTACATGCTGTTCCTGAGAAATCTTATTCACTCCCTTAGCTTCATTTACCATTTATCACATTTCCCATATAAGCCAACCCAAACCCAAGGTGATTCCTCATTTTCCTACTGAGAAAATCCAAAAAGCTTTTTGATCACCCTGAAACTGTATACCTTCAGGGATGAGGATGAAACAACCAAAAGTTTACTTCTATCAGTTAATGGACTTTATTATACACATGTGAATTTAAATTCACATATCATCATGAAGTAGAAATATTTATAAATAATATATTGATTTATAAATATTGCTTTCTTTCCATTCTCATAATTCCATAAACAATTTAATGCATACTTTTAACATGAGTTCTCCAGAGCAGCATCTTTCTCATTATGAGTGTCACTTTTTCAGCCATCTTACCTATTTTCCAGAACAGATGATCTTCTCTTCAGTCTACGTGGAGAATTTCGGAGAGGACACAGCACAATTTGAATCCATTTGTGATGCAGTCATTGGAAACTGTATCCCAAGTCACAGGTCCCCATTTGCATCGCTCTAGGGCAGCTGGTGTTTGGCATGCATCCTGCAATATATTCATGACCTCTAAAAGTCACTTAATGTTTTGCCTTTTAAAAAAAACTTTTCAATTGTTAATTTTTTTTTACTGAAGTATAATATTCATACAGAAAATGGCCCAAGTCATAAGTGTTTGGCTCAATGAATTGTCACAAAGTAAAACATCCATATAACATCACTCAGGTCAAGAAAGAGAATATTTCCAGCAGCCTAGAAGCCCCTCCCAAGTACTACAGTATTACTTTTAAAGGCACTTTTTATAAAGCATATTTAGAAACATTCAACACTTGCAGTTGTGAGACTATTACCAGGAATAGTTATCAAAGCTGTGACTATTGATTCTGTGGGAAATGACCTATACAGGCATCCAAAATAGCATTGTTGAGGACATTTCAGGTTAATGGGTCTTGCCCAAACAGTAAAAATAGTTAGCATTTATGGAGCACTTACTATGTGCCAGGTACGAAGCACTTTATATATATTAAATAATTTAACCCTTAGCCCCACTTTATAGATGAGAAAACTGAGGCAGAGACAGGCTAAGTAACTTTTTAAAAGCCACACAGCTTGTAAATGGCAGGGTCTGGACCCCAAGCCAGGCAGTCTGGCCCCAGAGTCCACAAGCTTAGTCACCATACCATACTGCTCTATCCAGTGGTTTGTTGTTCAAAATAAAGTAAATGAGAGCAAACCCTGTAATATGAGAGACTTTGTAAGGACTCAAATATAAGGTTACTCCCTCTTTCCTTGGGATGATTTTAGAAAAACAAAACAGCGAAAACCTCACCCTATATTCAAGCTTATACAGTATTTGCAGATGACTCCCAAATATTTATGTCCATCCCAGACCACTCTTCCAAGCTGCAGACCTACCTACCCGACAGGCACTTCAAGTTAGCAGCCCAAATTGAAAGTCATCATCTTTCTAAGTCAGCCTCCTGCAAGCAACTCCTGCTCCTTTTGTCCAACACAGTGAATGTCACCACCATCCACCCAGCTGCCCAAGCCAGAAACCTGGATGTTATCAAGGATTCCAGCCTCTTCTTCACTCCTCTTTTTCAAAATCACACTCCCTTCTGCTTTAACTGAAAGTGTGTTCTCTCACCCCAGAAGTTCCTGATTTCTTTGTACCATTTGCACATGTCTCAAGTCAGAATACCTTTGGACTCACAGCCTATATTCAGTCACAGGAAGGACAGAAGAGGAGGGATCAAAACTCTTCCAGTTCTTTAATACTGTCTGCCTCCATCTGATTTACTTCTTTCCATTTTCTCTGCCAGTTGGCCCCTCAAGCCCCTTCCCACCTCCTTGCCTAGTTTCCATCTCGCTTTCCTTTTCTGAGGAGTATACCCTGAGTGGGACCACCATCCCTAAATCTCCTCGTTCCAAAACCCTCCATCTGGAGCCTCAACTTTGGGATGAAAGAGGAAGTGAGGGAAGGAGAACTAATAAGGAGCATGGGTTAAACAGAAGTGACCAGGAGGAGAGAATGGAAAGATTAATATGGAAGAAGAGGATGAGGAAAGAGGGATGACAGGAGGAAACTGGGAGGGAAAGCCATGTGGGGAAGAGACAGGGAGAAAGGGACAGGGAGAAGGGGTTGGGGGAAAAGAGGTGAAGAGAAGAGGTGGGGAGACAGGGAAAGGAGAAGGGCAGGCAAAGGACATGGGGAGAACCGGTGTGGAGAAGAGGCTGAGGAGAAAGGATCGAGAAGGGATGGGAACAAGGGGCTGGAGAGGAAGGATGGGAGATGGGGCGAGAAGAAGAGGGTAGGGAGAAGGGAGAGGGGAATGGAGAGAAAAGGGTTGGGAGGGAGATTAGGGCAGTGAGGGAGAAGAGGGGACGGTGGAGGAATGAGGGGTAGGAAAGAAGATGGAAGAGCAGGACGAGAAGGAGAAGGGGACGAGGAGAGAGGATGTAGAGAACGGGATGGGAGAAGGGGACAGGGTGCTTGGACCAGGAGAAGGGAAGAGAACGGGGACGCGGGAACCGCGCAGCGCTGGGGCCGGATCCGGCCGGGGACTGGGGCCGGGAAGTCTAGGGGCGGAGGGAGGACTGGCGGGCGCTGGGGGGGCAGCGGCGCGGAGCGCGGGTGGGGGCGGGGGCGGGGGCTCGCGGGCGGAGGGGCGGGGGCTCGGGTTACCGCGCGGAGGGCGGGGGAGGGGAGGGGAGGGGGCGCGGGGCCGCGGCGGCGAATCTCGCTTCCTCCTCGGGGCGGCTGTGTAGGAGGCGGCGCCCCGGCGGCGGCGACGGCGGCGGCGGACGGACCGATCGACGGGCGGGTGCTCGCGAACCGACGGCCGGCCGCCCGCCCGGAGCTGCTCGCTGGCCGGGAGACAGCGGTGGCGGACGATGCGCGGCCCCAGGCCCCGCGCGGGCGGGCGCTGCCCAGGGGGCTGACCGCGCCGGACGGCGCCCCAGGACCGGGCAAGGGAGCCCGCGCCGCCCGGAGGTCAGTGCCCGCGGCCGCCCGGCCCGTCCGGCCGCACCCGCCGGGCCGCCGGCCTCTCCTGGGCGGCGGTGGCGGCGACGGAGCCGGGGGCTTTGTTCTGAGCTGGAGACAATGGGGGAGGGGGGGCCTGGGCCTGCGGGACGAGGACGAGCGTGAACGTGAGCGTGGGGGCAGGGCCTGGGGGTCTTTGTGTGCGTGTGTCATCGAGTCGGATGTGTGGCGGCGTGAGTGTGCCGGGGGTGTAGGCAGGGTGTGTGTGTGCTCCTCCGAATGTGAATGTGAGCGCGAGTGCATTGCCTAGTGTGAGTCAGTGCGTGTCACTGGGGAGTTGTGTGTGTGTGTGTGTGTGTTGGGCCGTGTGTACGTGCGTGTCACTCCGAGGGTGTGTGGGTCAGAGTGAGTATGTGTCTGGTGAGCCAGTCCCTGTGAGGGAGTGTGTGTGTGTGTGCGTGTGCGCGCGTGTGTGTGTGTGTTGCCTGCCTCTGTGGGAGCCATGTGTCAGAATGTGGAGGATGGGTGTGTGACAGAGACAAACTGAGACAGAAACAAAGAAACTGAGGGGGGAGAAGTAAAGAGAAACAGAGGAGAGACAGGCGAAGCCCGAACTGGAGGTCTGTCACCCAGACTGGTGTTGAGTTTGTGTCCAGGATGCCTAGATGGGAATCCTGTGCAGGGGACGGAGGGAGGTCACTGCGGGCCTGGTCCCACGTGGAGGGGGTGGGGAAATGGAGGTCTAGAAGTACAATGAGCTCAGTGTGGCGTGGGCCGGGCTCACAGCCATGGGGTCATAGGCCAGAAAAATATTGTTGCTTATGTCAACTCTTCAAATACCCACAGGGGACACAGTTGCAGGCAGCACACATCCACAAGAGATGCCTTCACAGCCATCACACACCCCCCGGAAGCACTGTCAGAGCCAATACACATTTACAGAGGGTGCTCTCAGAACAGTATACACCCATGATAGAAATGGTGCAGCCAACACATTCCCACAGGATCATTGTCAAGGCCACCACAAACCATGGGAGACACCATTGCTGCCAGCACCTTTCCGGAGACACTGCCACAGCAATATACATCCAATGGTAACCCTGTCACAGCCAACCCATCATCTAGGTTATACTTCATCAGGACTGCCTGTACATAGCAGGTGTCTCAGAGACCTGACACTAACAGGAGGCTGTGTTGCAGCCACCCTTACCAACACCCGTTTGTATATCCCATAGGAAACACAGTTTTAGGTGTCTTGCACACACCACAGACTGAGCTGTCCCAACTGCTGAATAAACTCCCATTAACTTATGATACTCACACCATGGCTTCTCACTCATAGACTTCCCAGGCTTACCCTCTAGTTCCCTGAAAACTTGGGGACCTAGATCAGTCTTCCCCTCACCCTATACACTGCCATGGTTCCAAGTGTCCCTCCAAGTGTAGCCTCACAGTTTCTTGAGCTCTTTAGCTCCTGTTACCTTCTCCCCTCCCACGACCACTCTGTATAATTGGTCCATCTCTAAAATTCTGAACTCCTACATTCCACTCTGCCCAGAACCTCCAGTGTCCTTCCAGCTCCCGGATGCCCTTGCTCCCATTCCACTTACTTTTCAACCTCATAATGACTCCTTGCCCTTGACCTCTTTGCTTTGTCCTAATCTGCCCCTTTCTGGCTTTGTGCTCTCCTTCCAGTTTATATGCCTAGGACCATCACTTCACCCACTCCTTGGCCCCTCTTTGTTCCGTTTTATTGTTGTCCTTGAGACCACCCATCCCACAAAGTCTCAGCCCTAGCTGGAATGATTTCTCAACCACACCAAGTTATGCTTCTATAAATTCACGCTTCTATAAATTGCACCCTCAACTGGGCCCTCCATAAATAAATAGATGAAATTTTTTCACATCCCTTTACCTTACATCCCTCATTGTTTTCAGCAGATTAATTAGTCAACTCGCTGGACCATTTATTCTGCAAACACCTATTAAGCACCTACTCTGTGCCAGGCGGTGTGGTAGGTGGTGGCATTACAAGGGTGAACAAAATAGACATGGTCCTTGCCTGTATGGAGCTTACAGGCTATGGGGTGAGTGCTGTACCATGGCAGCACATAGCAGGGAAACCTGAGCCCTTGTAGGGAGACCAGAAGAGGCTTTTGGAAGGAAGTGACATTTAAGCTTAAGCTTGATAGATACATAGGGAGTCTACCGAGCAAAGGAGAGGTGGAGGTGAGGTGAAGTGGGTGGAAAATATGCCAAGCCTAGGGAGCAGCAATGGAAAGCCCACATGTGAGAAAGTATTGTATGTCTGAGGGAAAAAGCAACCCAGTGAGCCTGGTACTAGTAGCATGATGTGAGGGCAGGTCACAGAGTCTGAGAGAGGTAATGAAGGGTTAGTTAGGTCATGCAGTTCTTGCAGGTCCATATGAAAGCTTATGGAAGCCGAGAATAATTGAAAATCACCGAATCATTTGAAGCTGTGGTGTGATAGGATCAGATCTGTCTGTCTTATAAATACCACTCTGACAGCAGTGTGGTGACTGGAGGGAGGAGTCTGGAAAGAAAGGGATGGTTGGCTGTTGCAGGAACCCAGGAGGGGATGATGCTGGTCTGAACTGGAGGAGTGGCAGTAGAGGGCGAGGAAGTAGATAGTTTCAAGAGTTCTTTAGGCAGTGGGGTCAGAAGGGCTCAGTGACAGAATGGATGTGGAGGCTGAAGGAAAGGGAGGAAGGAAGAGTAGACATGACAGACACACCTGGTGTGTCGGCCACTCGGAAAATTGAGGCCATCCAGTTTGAATTCCCTCGGCTGTTGCGGATCCCACCCCCTTCGGCCTCACTTGACAAATTACTCTGAGTCTTATCCATGTGTCCAGTTTCTCCCTCTGTACCCATTCCTCCTGTGAGCACATGAAGAGCCTCCAGGCTCTCCTACCTTCTAGGTTATAATACCTCTTCAGGTATTAACCCTGTAATACCTGACTATCTAAGACGCTCTCTCACTTTGCCTCACTGCCACATTTTGTGCAAGGGTCTTCCGCACAGAGCTCCTCACTTCCCATTTACTCCTGCCCCATACAATGTAACTGCTCTCCCTAAGAGAACATGACCTCTCACCTGCCAAATTTAGGGGCTCTTTTCAGAAGTCCTCAACGGCTTGACCTCTTGGCAGGGTCCAATATTGTTGACTGTTTTTTTCTCTTTGAATCATTCTTACACCTTTTGAGCCACTATTTTATTCTGTCAGTATTTAATGAGCTCACTGCTAGGTGGTGGGGATACTGTAATAGGAGACACTATTCTATCCCTACCCTTGGCAAGGGATACAGGCAAAAAAATCAGATGATACAGTAGGGTGGGATCTGTGCATCTCTCTTTCAGAGCACCTCCTGGCTGTCCCTTCTCAGTCTGCTTTGGGGGCTCCTTTGGGTGGCCCCTAAATGTTACTGTTTATTAGGGTTCTGGCTTGGACCTTCTTACTGTCTCACTGTATACACCCCTCTTGGTCATCTGTCTCATTCATTTCCAGGGCTTTAATTATCATCTGTATAAGCTGATGACTCCCGAATATCTATCTCTTCCACACCTCTCTTCTGACCCCCAGACCTGCAGGTCTGCTTCCTACCTGATCTTTACTATAGAGTCCATAAGCCCCTTAACATGTCCAGACCTGATCTCCTCATTCCTTCCTCCCCCAAACCACCATCCCCACTCAGTTATCAAGCTACAAACCCAGAAATTAACCGTAGCCACTCCCTTCTCCACATGTCCCATAACCCAGAAAGTCATTGGGACCTGTTGGTTCTACTTCCTTTCCAGCTGTCTCTGATATCCCATCCCCTTTTATCCATGGCCTCAGCTACTGCCTTCACCATCTTTTCACATGAATTACTTCAAGAGCCTCCTAACTTGTCTCCCTAGACGTCTACTCTTCCCTCTTCCAATCCAGTCTTCTCATTGCGGCAAGAGGGATCTCCCTAAAGTGCAAATCCAGCCACGGCATTCCCTGCTCAGCATTCTTTAGTGTCCTACCACTGTCTTGGGTGAGATCTCTACTTTAAGGAGGCTTAGGAGGTCTGTCATGACCTGACTCCCCCAGCCTCCGCACCCTCTCCCGTTTCCATAGCTCCCTCACATTGCAAGTTCCAGCCACACTGAATTCTTTGTAGTTCCCCAAAGACACTGCATTCTTCCATGCTTCTGGCCCTTTGCACATACTGCCTGAAAAGCCTTTTACTCCATTTGTCTCCTGGATAACCCCTTCCCATCCTCAGCTCTAGTCTCAAACCCTGTCTCTCCGGACCACCAGGCAAGCTTGGGACCCTCTTGTCTCACTGTTGTCATTACCTCTTCCCTTTCTGTCTCTCTGCCTGGGCTGGGATATCCTTAATGACAAGGCTGTATATTATTCATCTTCATGTCCCCGGACCCCTCTACAGATGCTTGGCAATGAACAATGAATGAATGAGTGAGGCACCTCACAGCACCTCCCTCACCCTCATTCACTCTTCAGAAGACTGACCTCTGGTCTCAGCTGCCCACACAGTAGAGACATTTTCACACACGCCCACTTACCCACTAGAGACAGAAAGTCTCTAGTTCATGAACTTAACTTAGTTCATTTTCCACTCCCCTCCCGCACAAGTTGTCCTTCCTCACCCTACTGTCTCTCCTCTTCTCTCTCTTTCACCTGGACTTCTCTTTTCCTGGATCCTCTTCTGCTCCCCTATTGTACTTTATTTCCCTTTCATTCAGCTAGCAAGTATTTAACAAACACCAGAAATTTGCAGATCCAAATCTACTGGGCCACATGCCTGTTGGGGTTCTTGGAGGGAGTGGAAGACGAGGAAGCTGTGACATGCCGTCAGGCCACAGGACTACAGTGCCTCTCCATCTGCTCTGCTCCACCAGGCCCCCTTCCCTGGAGGTGCCACGGGCTGCTCCTTCCTCGAACACCCACTCACATACACCACTCTGAGCCCTCCTACTCCTGGCACCCAGGCCCCTGCT